CAGAAACAAGAATCACTTTCAAATAGAAAGTAGCTCGTCTTCAAAGTTTAACACAAAGAGGAAAATAAAGCTCATACTAGTTCGCTCCTAACTTTAATCAGATTGCTTTACATCTAGGTAACAAAGATCACACAAGTGGCAACAGCCAAATTTAAAGTTCTTTTTATCTTGAAACACTATTGAAATTGCATTGCTAAAATAATTATAACTAAAGAAATATTTTCTTGTGCAAGCTTGAACTTGAAATAACAAATTTCAATCAGGAAGCACTGAGAAAAATTATCAAAAGGCACAAAATAAAACTACTAATTAATTGGACCATGGGAGGGAAATTGACAGGAACATGGAGCTAAATTCAAACTCAGCTTGGTATTAATGAAATACTCCTGGAATGATCACAGTCCACTGGAGCAAGATAGACTTGCTTTATAGATAAGAAAATGTGGCCCAGAGAATATGGTGAAGACACAAGAGATGGTAGCCTGATGTCCTTGATTCTGAGTTTTCACATCTGTAGAAATCCAAATGTGTCCTACTCTACTTTACTTTTTATTTGGAAAAAAAGAAAAACGTTGTCCTGATAGAGGCAGGTGAAATGACTTTCCTAGGACACACAGCTAGTTCCAATACTGGTCTGGGACCAGCTCTATATCACTGTTTCTCAAGGGACAGGGATTTGGGGCAACCTCAGGCTATGGCTGCAGAATCCCTTTGGGGGAACTGAAGGTGGGGTTCCACTGATTCAAAACACTAGAATTAAATATTTGTTGAATCACTGAAATATGCTCAGAAAAACTACAGGGTTAGTTCAATAGTCAAGAATTGGAAAATCCTTAAACTAGGTGATTTAAAAATGCAAATGAATTCTGTAAATATGACTTTTTGCTATTACCCTTGGTGTTTTGTCCACCGTGTATCTTCTTTTAAGTAAACTCTTAGGTTATCAATATCTAGAGTATATGGTAAAAGGCATTGGACAGTTTCAAAAAAACATAGAATCTTAAAGTGTTAGGATAATATTCTAGTTATGACTAAGTCAGAATTCAGCTATTCAGTCATTCCATTAAAAAATCTATTAGAAAAGGAGTGGTAGGAAATAATTTAGATAAATGAGGTTGGAATTATGCAGTTGCCCACTTGATTTAAAACTCTGCTTACCAATTAAATATATACATATACTTATATATATGTATAAATATAGATCCTATATATTAATTAAATATATTTCATATGTATATGCACTGTTAACATATAGGGCATGAAACCACAAACCTCTTTAGATTGGTAGAAGATTTCTGATGTTCACCTTTGTGACTCTTTGTTGCTGAATGAATATTTTAAAATATATTTAATGTACATTTCTGGTACTATTCTCAAATATTTGAACAAGTCTTTATAAACAAGGTCATATTTGAGTTTGGGCTTAAAAGGTGCATTTTTTAACCAGGTTAAAAAATAAAAAAGAATTGCAGGGGCAAGGCAGGTAAACGGAACAGTACTTGCAAAGGCACAGAGATTTGAAAGTAGTCAATTTGGGAAATGGCAAGTGACTCACGATGTTTACAGGTTATGTTGGCCATGGAAGGGTGGCCAGCAAGAAGGGTGGGCAAAGAGGAAGCAGCTAGGTCACAAAGAGCCAGTGCAAATGAATTTCATGCAATAAGTATCCTGTGTATAAGGTATTTCATCTTGGAGGTAAAAGGAAGGATAGGAGGGCCAATCTCTTTATGCACCATATAGGAAAAGTTATTAGTTTTTATGAGAATATTGTTGAAAGCTATCTTTTTAAAATTATTTTTTAGTTATACATGGACACAATTTTGTTTATTTATTTTTATGTGGTGCTGAGGATCAAACCCAGTGCCTCACATGTACAAGGCAAGCGCTCTGCTACAGAGCCACAGCCTCTGCCCTGTTCAGAGCTATCTTGTGTTGAAAAAGGAGATACAAAAATTTTACTAAACATTGAAAATATTTTGATTTCATAAGCCAGTAAAACAGATAAATTTATAGTGACAGCATGGCCTAGATGTAAAAATATGTTGATTCCTAATATTTTTAAAAAATTCTTTTGCCTTAAGTAAAAAAAAACATACAAGGAGACAATGAGTAAAATTTGTATTTTATTGAATGGGCCTTAATCATGAGAAAACTAGCAAGAATTAGGCCTTGCGTCTGCTGTTCCAGCCTGGGTGAAAGAACTCAGGGAAGAAGTACAACCAGTTTCAATGGCCTGTGGGAGCTAAGTAGGGAATAGAAACAAAGGCCTGGGGTTCAGTGACTTTTACTTTATAATCACTCTGTCATGGTGGGTTGCTGGAATACAAGCCCTGTCCTCCTCTGCCTGCCTTCTTGCATTCTGCATCTAGAGGGAACTTCAGTGTAGATCTGACAACCAACCGGGTCACTCCCAGAAAAGCCACAAACACTACATCTATTGCCAACCATATCACTCCATCCTGAGATGCGTGGCCTATGACCAAGTCCTGCCCTGGGGCCAGGAATAGGAAAACAGAATGGGTGTACACCAGAGCTGGCTGTTTTGCTTTCCTCTTTTACTTCTGTATCTGAAAACCTGATAAATGTGTGTTTACTGTGTTCTTTAAGTTCCAGAAAAAAAAAAAAATCTGCTAAACCATGAAGATGGAGAAGAAATGATTTTTTTTTTTTAATCTATAATTATCTCTGTCCAAATTCCTCCAGCCAATTCAGAGAAACCATGTACAGTGGCTTGCTAATGAATTTGGACACGGTTCTTGGAAGAACAGGGAGACACCAAAGGTTGTTTAGGCAGAGGAGTGCATAATCAGATCTGAGATTTAGAAAGGTAGCCTGGCATCAGCAGGGATTGAAGAGGTCAAGCACTGTAAAGGAAAAGGTCCATTTGAGGCCTCTGCAAGGATGTAACAGATGATGAATCTCTGGCCTATACCCTGGCTGTGGACAAGGAAGCTAAGCAGCACAGAAGGGAGGATGGTGGGGGCAAAAAGAGAAGATGGAGAGGATGCCAAGGATTTGGGCCAAAAGGCTGGAAGGCAACAATTAATCACCCAAAAGTGAGTATTAGCTAATCTCATTATTTAATCTGTCATTAAGTGAAATTGGATTTGCAAGCCAAGGAATTTAGTTAGCCTTTTCAAGATTTTGGTATATATTCACAAAGTAAACTCCAGGAAAGTTATATCAACTTTTTATATTTTGAGTAGCTTATTCAGAGGCAGAACAGTAAAATGGTTCCTGACACTGCAACCATCAAGGGTTCAAATTCTGGCTTAGTCACCTAATAGCTGGCTGAACAATAAAATCTCATTAGGTATCATGGGACTGAAATGAGTCATTCTGAGTCAAGTGTTTAGGTTACTCAGAGCATTGCCTTCAGCTCAGTGCCTGGCATGTAGTCCCCCATTTAGTATTATCTTCTATCCCTGTCTTGTAGTCAGTGTGGGGAAAACTGAAAGACTAATTTTAAAGAAGGGGGACCTCAGCTCACTGTCTTCTTGTACTCAACATTGCTAATGTTGCTCAGGTGGTGCAAACAAAGAAATGCAAAAGTGCTAAGGGAAAACAAAACAAAACAAAATTTTCTCCTGAAAAAACTTATAAGAGAAAGGTAAACACAAATTTCCAGGCACAGGGGTTACTCTGAGGTGCAGCCTTTTGAAGACCATAGAACTTGCTTATAAATAGAACATCTAAACAAGCAAGAGCAATTTTCTCCTTTCGTCTTCCCTCACTGCCTAATTTTCCTCTCATGCCATTTGCATAATGGATAAAAAGGCATCCATTATGCAAATAAATGATGAGGTTACAAGGTTGCTGAAGCCAGCAGCCTGGCTCCAGAGGAAGAAAAGCTGCCACCGAGCCCTCCAACACCCTTACTCCAGCAGACTGCTTCACTAGCTGGGTTTCCAAAAGATGGAGGAAAATCATGAAGACCACAGGTCATTATTTTTTATTTGATTTGTTTTAAAAAGGACATTGAGATACTTTTTAGAAAATCAGGACACAATATGGTTATTCAGTGTGGTTGTATGTAAAATCAACTTAATAGTATATATTTTATTTCAAATAGGGAAAGTAAGTCCTATGTACAGTTTTGGCAATTTTAAACATATGCTGTGCTTTCAAAAGCGTAAGATTCCTTTTTTGACATGGGAAATGCCTGTCCTTCAAGTTTGAGAATTAAACTCTGGTAGATGCATTGAACATTCTCAGAATGGTGTGAACACATTCAACAGGAATACATATTAAGTACCAAAATATTGGTGGGTTTTCAAAAACTTCATGCTGTTGAACTGACCTAAACTTCTAAGAAGTATCACCAAAAACTGATATGTTTTTTTCTCTTGGAGTTGTAAATTGATTACAAACTTTACAAGAATGTCTATTTTCTCTTTCTACAAACACCTTCAAAACAAATATCATGAAAAAGAATTCTGAGAAAAATCACCAGATGAATTGTCCTTGTTTGAATAAAGCAGCAGGAAAGAATTTCAAAACTAACTTCAAAATATTTTCCCCAGAGTCTGAGATATATATTAGAAGAAAAAGAAGATGGCTAAGAAAGAAACTGACCTTTATTTCTAGTATGGATTCTTTGGTAACCCTTAGCTCCGCCAAATGACTTTTTTTTTCAGGAACTTTTTTTATGTGATCCTCAGAGGATATAGTCAACCTCATCATTTACAGTCTGACTCCCCCCACCCCCACCCCTGATATTTCTTCAAGGACATGCAATTCAGATTCACCTTCAGTTCAGTTCAAGGAAAAAAAATGCATATACTTACCTGAGCACCAGCAGCTGTAAATAATGAATATATTATTATAATATATATAATAAATTTTATATATATATATATATATATATATATATAATTTTTTAGAGAAAAGGAAAACCCATTTTTTTAAGAAAAAAATTATTAACAGGATAAAAGCAACACAGTCAATAAGATGATGTGTTTTCAACCAGGGGAAAAGCATACCACTAAAAATACACGTACCTAATTTCAGAGCAGAAGGGGTTACTTCAATTTCCCCACCAATTGGTTTAAACGCAGCCAGTTGGGCAGCCACTTCTGTCTCAAAAGCATCCGGGCTCTGCCGATCTGCAGGGTTTCCGCTGGGGCTCTCAAACTTGTGGAGGGGTTCTTGTTCATCAAACACAGCAATCAGCTACAAACAAGTCCAACAACACTAATTACTTTATAGGACACACATATCTAAGGGACACTGTATCTAGCTGATTGTGATCTTTATTTGATTTTAAAGAAAATGTCCTCTTCAGTCTTGAAACTTTAATGTTACTGTACCACAACTCTTAATTCTTCAATAATATTATGTCTATAAACACCATGGTCAGGACATAATGAATGGTTTGTTCTTTTGTTTATTTTGTCTATTCCTAAAATAGAGAACCAATTTTGGCTACCTCTCTTAAAGGAATGAAATGGCTGCCTCTTCCCCTTACCACTTTTCTCTAATATCCCTAAAAAGACTTCATTATCTCTTTATTTCAAGAATGTTCCCCAAAATGAAAGTTAAATCTACAAAAGTTGAACGTAAACATTCCAGCCTCAAAGGCTAAGACACATTACAAAATCCCAATTATATCTGTCCTTCTAGACACAACTAAATCCCCACATTCTTACAGATTGTTTGTAAACAGTTTGTGTTTATCTTGTATATGTAGATACCCAAATTTTTTCCATGCTTATTCAAGTTATTCTTTTCTTTCATGATTGACTCTGAGTGGACTAGGTTAACTTCAATGGATGCTAATGCAATGAGACTAAACCTTCACATTTTTAAACTAATTATATCCATTTTCTTCTTAATTTTATTTCATATAAGAGAATGCTTATCATTAATACAAAAACATGCAATGTCTTCTCCAAGTCATTTTTCATTAAATAACAGCAAAATATTTTAAAATTTGTACTAGTCATGCAGACAACAGACAAGTCCTAAGGGCAGGTCCGCTGAGACTGCGTTATTAGCCAACAGGTTACCCCACCATAGAGGAATTTTATAGGTTTCTCAATAGCTGATGCAGAAAAGTCCAACACAAGTTCATGAAGAAGCTAGAGATGCTACTGTCAATTCAATGAAGTGCAGCGAGTGTCAATGTGAAAACTGCTGGTAAATCTTTTGATATTTTACATTCATTAAATAAAACAAACCTACTTATGATTCAAACATTTATTCAGGAAAGGCACTCAAAGCCCCATTCATCGGGGGAACCTTTTTGGCAATAGTATTAATAACACAAGTGCGGGGGTAACCAATCAAAACATCATAAATTCCAACTTCAGTCTTTCAAAAGAAATGAATACAATTAGGGATATGTAAATTGGCTATTCAAAAATAATTTTCATAATTGACTACTCATTTCCAGGATGGAGACTTCTTTAATTGGAGAATCCAACAATCCTCACCACAGAAAAGAAATGCTTGCTCCCAAGGCATTCTTTTTAATTTTTGAAATTGAGCACAAGCATTTTCTATTTTTAATTGCTAGCACTGATGAACTGATTTGAGATAAGACTCAAATGGATTAATAATGAAAGATTATTCTAGTATAAAAATAATCAGTGGATCTATATATCTTTCTAATCATCTGGCCAAAATGAAAAGTTTTAACACCTTAAATCCTGAAAAGGAAAATAAAATCAATTTTTAAAAAGTTTGATGGAATTGCTATTTTCATCACTATTTCTACACCATAATTATAAATTCAACTTTGCATACTGGTGAATTCTAACACATAATAATGATGTTAATTTCAATATACAATCAACTAGGCAGTGGTAAATTATATTGGCACTGTGAAGAGTTTTATTTAATACGTTGTACTTTTCTCTCTTGCTACATCCTTAACTGCAGCATAATCCATGTGCTTTAAATATTATGGTAAAGAGAAATAGAATATCAATCAGAAGTATAACACAAAAACCTAAAATTGTTAACTCATAAGTTAGATCACATTACCTATGCATTTTCTTTTAATAATACTTCACTGTTTTCCACACATTATACTCACACAGGTTATAGCATATTTAGTAACCATAGTATACCTATTTGTCAAATGGGAGAACATAGCACTTTGGAGATTTTGTTTCCCAAGGTCATAGACTACATGGTTTCTGGTAATAGAATCAAGTCTTTTTTATTCCCAACCCAGGGTTTCAGATCACAGTGTGACCTTTTTCAAAACCAAAAAGCCAAAAAAAAAAAAAAAAAGTGACCACACTGTAGAATACTTATATTTTGTTCGTAAAGGCCTAATATCCTAAATAATATGAACTTCAGTTTTCAGTGATACAGAAACACATGACTCTTCTTGCAGATAATAACAGAGAGACCTGGGTATTCCCCAAATCTCATATTCTCTTTGATTAATTAATTATGTAACCTGTCTCCCATTCCCCTGATTGCTAGGAATTTCTTCAGCTAAACTTGGTTTGGATGAAAGAAAGTCTTGGCTTCTGGGAAAAGGAGAACCAGTTCCTGAATCGGTGGTGCCCATCTAAGTCACTGTCCTCCAGATGCTGGCTGAGAGGCTCTCTCCATCTAGTCTTCATCTCAACATTTGCAATGCACATAGACTTGTGTCCACATGGATAATTCATTGAAATCGCACATTGTAGATTCTTGTTAACTAAATTACTTGATTCATTGGAACACCTACCTTACTGAGCAGCAGTGTTCCCAGAAGACAGTGCTTCAGAGATGCAGTGATTAGCATTAACTTGCCCTCTGGTCCCTCAACAGAAGGCATGCTGGTTTCCAGAGCATCCAGGGCATGAACATGGCTTAGCTTACTTACCTGCTTTTAAACATATTCACACATTCATGAAAAGGTTTCACCTATAGTAAACTTCTATGGCTTGTAAAGGAATTTTGAGACACCTCAGGAGGTGTAATAACCTAAATTTCATGCAAAATGCAAACAGGCAATGATTGATTTGGATGCGGTCCTCTGCGGCTGTACCTTCTGTGTGTCTTCTGGTCTGCACTTTCTTCGCTTGCCTTCCGGTACCTCACAATCCCTTGTGTTGTACTTTAACTTTCAGGGCCTTTATTAAATTTCCCTTTGCTTATTCCTCTTCATTTCCCAGACTGTGTTTCAAAAAATGCTAAAGAGCATATGTCTAAATCCAGGCTCAGATAGTCAAGTTCCTAACCTCTCAAAAACTGAAGAGATGCTCTTCCAAAGCTTTCCCATGGTCATTTGAATCCCAGTTAATAGCTTCATTCTTTCAAATTTCTCAGGCCAAAAAACTTGTGGTAATCCTTCAACTTTCTCCCTTCTTCTTGCTCTGTCTCTGTCACTCCGTGACACATTTGATATCTCAAAAAAATAATCAGATTCTGACCACTTCTCACCACCTCCACCACCACCACTTTGGACCCAGCTACCATAATTTCCTTGTGTTACTACAACAGCCTCTGGACTGGCCTCATTTCTACCCAGGCTTCTTTCCCTCAGTGAAGGAAAACTCAAACCAGCAGCCAGAACCATCTTGCTAAAACACAAGTCAGACCATGTCTCCTCTGACCAGACCCACCTCACCTGGATAGAAGACCAAGACGTTGCACTGGCCATTAAGGTCTTTGGCTCCCCATAACTTATATGATCTTGTCCTCCAATTATTCTCTCCTAAGTTCTCAGGGCTCCATTCCTCTGTACTATCATCTTCATTCCTACCACACTGTCTTTATATTTTCTGTTCTTCCTGCCTGGTTTTACACCAGATACCCCATTTCTTTTTTTTTTTTTTTTTTTTTTCTGTGGTGCTTAGCACCAAACTCAGGACCTTACACATGCTTGGCAAGTGCTCTACCACTGACCTACATCTCCAGCTCAGAAAAGCCAACAGTTCAAAGATCAAAAAGAAGTAAAATAATTTTGCATAACTTAAAACGTTCATGGTTGAATAACAGATATGATCGAACGGGGGATATGTGCAACTTTGCACTTCCAATATCTGCTCAAGGACTCAGACCTGTGTTTATACTGGAACAGTAAGACAATTTAATCAATGTCTAGCTGGTCATGCATCACCTAGCAAGGTATGCTTGTGTCCGTGTTTGTGTTTTGTGGGGGCTGAGAAGTGGCAGGAGTAGAATGCTAATTTCCTTGATAAAATTCCTAATATGCCCGAATTCTTAGCACAGAGCCCGTCCACAGGTACACAATGGAAGGCCAAATTTAACTTATTTTCCTAGCCTAGTGATCATTCCCTGGCTTCCAGAGTAGTCCCACTTGACTTGTTTATCCCTATTCTGCTTTTACTTTGTTGTTTCTCTTTAATCTCTTCATCACAGCATTGACAGAGGAACATAGAAAGTACCAAGATCAAACGCATCAAATGGGTAATTTTGATTCTTTTTTTTTGTTTGTTTGGTCTCACTTTTCATCCCACGACAACACACAACCCTTGGGCATGTAGTCTTGCTCTTCCACGGTCTCTCCTGTGCCGACCATAACTCGAAGTACAGTACCAAGGCCTGTAGCTTCTATGCTACCAAGTAAATATTTTAACAATAAATGCCACCACATGCATTTATTACCAAGTTCCTCAATATTCATGGTGTGGTTTATTCTGTTGTCAACTTGTAGCATTCTGTCACTTTTATAGCCTGAGATTTTATAATCTGATGTTATTATCCTTAGCCTATGTAGAGAATAAAAAAGAGCCATCCAAATGCTCATAGACCATAATAAACTACATTTATAAAAGCATTTTATTAGTAATTACACTGAGAAATATGTGGCTCTATTTTAATTACATGTCAAGTGAACTAATGAACTAATATAAAGAAAGGCTTCTTTGCTGTACTGAGTTCTTTGGGTTAAATTATTGAACTTAACAATGTATTGCTATTTTTTGCTATTTTCTACACATTCCATGTTACCACTATCAAGTAAAATTAAAAGACAAAGAGAAAAAAATCCTACAAAGTAAAATTGGAATCATTTGTCTCAAATCTTAATAAACACAATTAAATCTAAGTAAGACTGTGAAATTACAACAATTTCACAAGTAGGGGAAAACACATTATCACCTTTGAGAGGGATTGAAGCACTGCAGAATTTCATTTAAATGTATGCATCTGCCTGTAACTAAATAACAATTGGCTATGAGAACTAATTTTATGCCACTTTAAAA